TCATTTAAATATGACACAATATTCACTTGTACTCGGTAACACGTTGATAACAGTTGGATGACGTCATACAGCTCGTGGTAAATGGTTGTATTTATAAAGCGCTTTATACTACAGTTTGCCATTCACCCAGTCACACACACATTCATACATACAGTGCATCTAGAGGAGCACTTTTCTATTGTTGTTCTCTGAGGGGCCATTCGGGGTTCAGCATCTTGCCCAAGGACACTTTCAGGTGTGTTCACCTGTTGTCCAGGTGAGTCTGACTCTCGCTCACCTGCCTCCAGCTGCTGAACATCTGGACCTGATCAGGGTCAGACCCAGAGCACGACGCACACAGGAGGCCGCCATCTTACTGATTACGTCATCGTGGCCGGACGTCAGAAGGGTCACGAGGTCTCGTTGCCTTCAAAATAAAAGCAGCGGAGAAACGGTTATTATAAATCCGAAGATTTCAAAGTTTCCGTTTAGTTTCTTTTCGATGAATGAAAATATTGATTTAAAAATATCCTGCAGAATCTTCTGTCATTATTTCATTACATTCACTGATATATTGCAATTATTTCTGTCTATTGGTTATAATCATTCATAATTGTATTTAACGATCATAGTCTTCATACTGAGATGGCTTTCATTTCATCGACCAGTTTCTGTTCACGTTCTGATCCTGGATTCAACAGAGACACTGAAGCTACAATACTACTGAAGAACAAACCAATATCCTCGGTACAGGTTTGAACTTTTATTGTGAAAGAGAAGAACAGGATGACACAGATGGATGATTGTGTATGGAGGCACACCAGCCTCAAAAACTGTATCATTGGTTCAAATCTGAGAAACAAAGCAGCTGGTGTCATTAAAAAGTCTCCAGAGAACCAGGACCAGACCAAAGTCGACAAGGACGGTTCCTAAATGTGGTGTTTCAAATCCTAAAGATTCCTACTGGGATTAATAAAACTTCTGATTCTGATTTTTATTGTCCCACAATCATGCACACACAGCACTTCATGCAACATGGGGAACTATGACCTCTGCATTTAACCCATCCGTGTGAACACAGCACACACAGAACACAATACACACAGTGACCACACGGAACAGTAGGCAGCCATGAAGGCTCCGGGGGAGCAATTGGGGGGTTCGGTGCCTTGCTCAAGGGCACACAGGTAGTGCCTAGGCAAACTGGCACCTATCCAACTACCAGTCCACCTTTCACCCTTCGGTCCATGCTGGAGTCATTGTTGGTCTCGCTGCTGCTCTGCTACTGATTGGCTGTAGTCACACTACTTCAAAATCAGGACAATGAAAAGATGATTGACTTCCTGAATTTCAGTCAAACAACCAATTAGTACAAGTTGTTAGTGTTTGTCCAGGTAACATGAGCGGAGTCCTGTCTGGTCTTCATGTCCAGAACCTTCATGGTTTACATTCAGGATTTTAGATTGAGCTCCTCCCACTTGGTTTGAACCGAACATGTGAACCTCCAACACCTGTAAAGTCTGTGCCACCTGTCGACCAATCAAATCAGTATTTTCATTGAGACGCATAGTGACCTCTGAATGTTATGGAGCCACAAATGTGGATTACACAGAAACCTGATTGAGTTCTGCACTTTCAGTCTATAAAATAACAAAGTGCTTCATACATGTTTGATTCATCAATGATCTGGCAAACACACAGAGGGGGAACAAAGTGAGTGAAATGAAGCTGCTCCTTCAGGATCGAACTGACTAACGTTCAAACAACTGAAGTTTTTCCTCATCCTAACGTGATGTTCACATGTGCAGTTGGTTCAGACATGTTTCTGCAGCTGCAGATTCTTGGTGCTTCGTTTCTTCTTTCTTTAAATGATTCCATAGTGATCATCAGTAAACATGCACGTTTTTTTAATGATCATCTTATTCACTCGTTTTAGGAAAAAAATAAATCTGTAAACGCAGCTTTGGATTCAAAGATTAACAAACAAGAGAAAAAACCAGTGAGTGCAAGAAACGAATCATTTTTTAAGAATTTGCAGCTGAATTGACCGATCGGCTCCTTTTCAAAATCAATCAATCAAATGTTGTTTGTACAGCTCATATTCACAAATCACAGTTTGTCTCATAGGGTTAACGAGCTGTGACCTCATCGGTTCTTAACTCAAGAGTAAAACTACTAAAAAACCTTTCAACAGGGAAAAGAACGTAGAGACCTCAGAGACACGTGAGGACCCGTCTCCCAGGACGGACACAAGTGCAGTAGACGCCACGTGTAACTGAGAACGTCAGACACAGAAGAGTAGCTCCAGCACTGGTTAGAGGAAACAGTTAGAAGCTTGATGGAAGGTGAATGAAGAGAGGAGTTACTGTCAGGAAGTATCTGAGGAGACATATTGTTGATCTGTCTGTGATCATCGTCCACCATGGAAATAAAAGCAGCTGAATAGAATCAGGCAGTGATGTCACACTGAGTCAAATCAACAGGTTGGAGTTTTGACTGAAATGG